TTTCTTTTTATTCTTTCTTTCACTGTCTAACAGGGTGGCTTTTCCCCTTAAGAGAAGGCAGCTAATTAGACTGAAGGGCTGTAGCTGGAGGAGGCTAAGGAGGCTGTGGCCTGCTGGGAATGAAGGACCCCAGAAGGCATAACTAGAGTGTGGAGAAGCCGCAGAGGCAGGGAACAGCTGTGCTAGGAGGGCAAGCATGGGAAGGAAGGTTGCAGTTATGGCAGACCCATTTCAGGGACCAGGATGATGTGGTTTCTGTTTGTTGAAGGACAGTATGTAACTGGGGCAGGCTGGGAGGTACTCCGGGCAGCACAGGTCAGCAGGGTCCTATAATACTAAGGCTACTAAGAGGTGCTTGGAGAAGGGAGAAAGTCTGGTTGAAAGACCCTGAGGTGACAACCTAGCTCCACACTGCTCTCTCTTCACTTTTCTGTGTCTACTCACTTTGATCAGTTTTTTTTTCAAAACTTTTTCCTTCCTGCCTGTGGCTCCATCTGGCCCCTGCTAACTGTGGAGTGTGGGAAGCCACACTACCCAAGGTGGCTTCTTCACCTCCAAGCTACCTGTCACTATCCCTCCTCTGCAGGGGGAGAAGAGGCAAGAGGGAGTCCTGGTTCCTGTCTATGTCCCTGCTTGCCAGGCCTTAGAGGCAAGTTACTGTTGTGTAGGACTGAGACAGCATTGAGCCTTAACCTGGGACTGTTCTGAAACTGTTCTCTATATACAATGGCTGAGCCTGCCACAGATTTTAAATGCCTTAAAGGTAACATGTAACAGCACCCCTAGTCATCACCCACTATGAAGAGGTGTTCAGACAGTACTTATGATAGCAGGTATGCAACAGTTAATAGTCTGTCTGGCCATAAGGCTGGGAGTCAGGAGCAACTGCTGCTTGGTGAGTGAGCCACAGAAAGGGATAAGAGCTCAAGGAGCAGTCTGCAAGGGGGAGAGAAGCAAGTGGGGCTGTGGTGCTGAGGAAGAAGCCCAGAGCCTGGGTTGCCACTCTCAAGGTCTGAAGGAAGACAGAAGCTTTGGTGTGGTGTGGTTTGCCCACCTGCTTGTTTTGTTGTTTGTCTTGTATACAGTGGGGACAAGGCTGCCCCATGCAAAATAAAACTGTCTGGAAACCCTGAACCTAGAAATGAATGGCTTTAATAAGGCAGCTGGGTGAGTGACTTGTTTATACCCATGCAAAAAGAGACCCGGAACACGTTCCCTTGGCCCCTGTTCTGGCACAGGCATAGGAGCTGCCTGGGGTAGGAACTCCACTGACCTTCACTTTACAGACCTTTCACAATGTTGTAGAGATATCTTTAGAAATACAAATCCCCTGAAAAGGCAATGAGCGTATGTTTCTGAAAATCTCAGTGCTGTTGTCAGAAGGCTCTGAGTTCTCCCAAGAGTCAGCGATGAAGTGTTGGCCATGCTGTTCCAGCTGGTCACACTGTCCATCCTCCTACCCCAATTGTCCACTTTGGCCCTGCTGTCCTGCCTGCCACAACCTGATGTTTGTGTTAATTTGCTCCTTCAGGAGGTGTTTACAGGGGATTGGAGTTTAGCCACTGTTGCTTTACTGCACCTTGCTCATGTTCAGGCTGCTGGTCTGTCTAGCCCAGGGGTGGGCAAAATACAGCCTGCAGGCCAGATCTGGCCTGCCACACAATATAATTCAGCCCGTCAGTGCCCAACAACTAATTGTACCCTGCCCAGTGTGTGCAGGAGGGCCTGGCTCAACCAGCACGCAGGATGCAGCCAGATGCAAAAGGGTCTTTATGGTTTCTGAGCATATGCACGAGGCTGCTATCTGGTGGAGTAAGTACACAGCTCCATAATTCACGGCACTAACAGAACAAAAACCCAAGGATAGAAGTAGGAAAGTAGGAGGGCCTGTTTTTTTTATCCCAATAACTAGTTTCAGCATCCACCCAGGAGACAAGAAACCAAAGTCCTATGCCCCTGACCAACCCAGAGGAGACCTGAACCCACCCTTGGCTGCTCAGGGGACCAGCTTCAATAGGAGGGCTAGACAGGAGACTAGAAAATGCCAAAGCTAGGGTTCAGGGTACTATGCCAGTCAACTGACATTTGGGCACAGAAAGAAAATGGAACTCTGCCTTGACCATCTCTATTATGGAGGGATGTTACTTCTCCTGGGGGAGTGAGCTACAGGCACCCCTGGCTGTCCTTCATTCCCAACCTGATTTCCTTCCCTGCCTATCCATCTCCTTCTCCATGGGACTCACTATTCAATTTGGCCTACCCTCCTGATACAAAATAGAAGATACCAGGAAAGCTTTGAGGAGACCAGCAGCTATGGCCTCAGTAACAACAGTGCTGGGTATTCAAGAGGAAACCAAATGTCCCATCTGCCAGGAGTATCTGACTGACACAGTGAACATAGGCTGTGGGCATGACTTCTGCAGTGCTTGTATCGGTCACTACTGTGAGCAATGGGAGGTCCCATCTGCTGAGGTCCCATCTGGTCCTTGGAGTGTCCCATCTGCTGAGCCAACATCCAGAAAGGGGCTTTCTGCCCAAACGGGCAGCTGGCAAATCTAGCAGAAAGGATTAAATGCTTGGAGTTCAAAGTTTGATATTGCTTGCAAGTGGGGGAGTTTGTTCACATTGGAACAGCCAGGCAGAAATTATTTTCCTAGGTTTCTGGGTGGGGACTCAAGCCAATTTGCCTGAAACTCCTAAAATGAACTTGGCCCTTGTTGCTGCCATCTGGTGCCTGGCAGAAGGATTACACAGACACTTCAACTGCAGGGTCTGAAGCAAAGACTCAGAGAGGGGAGACCTGGATCCTGTCAACTTGAGGTTGACAGCCAGGCCCTGCAACCTTGCAGCAGTAGTTGGGTGAGCTTAGGAGCTGGATGTGGCTCTGCTTGTGGGGATGGGAGAGAATAAGAGGGGGAAACAACCCAAGAAACCTCTCATCCCAGCATTGTATGCAAGGATGGAGGGAGAGCCTGCTGCCAGCAAGCCTGCAGCCAAGGGCCTGAGCCCAGAAGCCCTTTTTGCTGCACCCCAGAGCGGGTACTGCCCATGGGAGGCAGGAAACGGGCAGAATAAGGAGGGCAGCACTCCAGAAAGGGGGGGGGGGGAGCACAGAAGAGGCTGGAAGCGGGGTGCTTGGCCATGCCTCTAGTGTGAGTTGCTGCTCCTGCACACCCTCTGGGAAAGCCTGGATCTGCCCTGGCAGGGAAATGAATTAAAAAAGAAGAAAAGAAGGAGTTGCTGGTGGCTGGGAGGGGAACTTTCAAGAGCAGGTTAGACAGACACTTGGCTGGGATGGTTTAGTCAGGGATGCTGCTGCCTTGAGCAGGGGGCTGGACGAGATGTGACCTGGGGAGGTGCCTTCCAGCCTGACTGTCCTGGAATCCTACGGAGCAGCCCCGCTCCGATGCCCAAGGACCTGGCGCCCCGGGTGCGGTGCCGGCTGGCCAGACACCCGCCCTGTGCCCGGGACCCCCGAGCGGGGAGGGGGCTGTGGGAGCTTGGGGGGGCGG